AAATTCATTATTGCATTATTTACTATGACTTTTAATTATTCTTTATATCAGAATTTATAACTATTTCATTACTTTATTAACTATTTTACTATATAGTACAGTTAAACTATTTACTGTTTCAGTATTATTATCTTTCAGTTCACTTAATTCAAATTCTTCCTATTACTATAACCAACTTTTAAACTTTTCAAAATTTATAATTATATATATTAGGCATATTTTTTTAATATCATTTTATATAATAAATTTAATATTATAATGATTAAAATCAAAATATACTCTAATAATTTCTATAACAATAAAGTGAATACTCTTACTTAAAATTGTATAACCTTTATAGTTCTATAATTTAACTTCTATAATACTGTTAAAATATTTTTTATATATTAAAGATCACTTATTATAATACTTATATAATAATTTATCAAAAAACTTTTAAAAAGTATTTATTTGAAACTTATCAGTCTAGATATTCTTTTAAAAATGTTTAGATAATTTATCTTTATTAGCAGATAACTATTTTTTTTTTAATGATAATGTTGCTCTAACTTGTACATTATATGTAGTTTTATTATTACAAAAAGTAAAATAAATAAAGAAATTATTAAAATAAAATAATAAAAAATTAAAAAAAAATGATAAATAGATAAGAAGAAAAAATTATAAAATAAAGAAAAGAAGATTTAAGGAAGAAATAAAAAAAGGAAAAAAGAAAATAATATTAAAGTCTATAAAAATAATAAAATAATAAAAATAAAAAAGAAGTTTAATGAAAAATCAAATAGGAAGATATAACTATAAAGAAGAATAATAAAAATTATAAAAAATAATTTTTAAACAAATAAATTAATTTGTAAAACAAATTCTCTTATTAATAAGTAGTAGAAACACATTAAGCAGGTATAGCTTTTGTTAAAGCTATTGAACTTATAAAATATCATATATTTGTAAATTTAGATTTGACAATTACAATGTTTTTTCTTTATATTTAAGGTAAATACCTTTGATTTATTTTCATTTGAATCATTCCTAATGATATTAAATGCTTGATTTTTATTAAATAGGATTTTACTATAAGAAATAATTATTTTTAAAGCTTTTTTTTTTTTATCTAAAAGAGCAGATTTCAATATTCATATTATTTGAAATATTTTAGTAACATTTTTTACCAAAGTTAAGAATATAATAAGTAGGATTTTTCAAGTAGGATTTTTCAAGTAGTTGTTTTTTTGCTAGTAGTTATTGTTTATTATTATTAAGTGAAACTAAATGATCTGAGTGATCTCTGATTTTGTTATTATTATTTTTGCAGTTATTTTTTTATTAATCATTTTAACAGTTAAGGGAATTAGCAGAAAAAGTTTTATTTAAACTTTATTACTTATACTTATTAAATCTAAATAAATATTTAAGATTAAACTTTAAACATTAATATTATATTATTTAATAATATAAGAAAGTATATAAAAACCATTAATTTTTATATGATTTATGATTAATCTATTATATTTAAAAAGCTAAGTTACTAAATAAAGTTGATTAAAGAATCTTTTAAGCTTGATTTGATTTTTTAAATAATTTTATATTTATCAAGTGTATATATAGGATCAAATATTTTCTGTTATAAATTATAATTTTTATTTTTATTGATTATTATACATATCTATTTTTCACTTTTAACGTTCTTTTTATCTATATATTTTTATTTATTTTTTTTTTTTTTTTATAAACATTATGTTTTCTTTACTAAATTATTACCTTTTTTTTCTTTATTTAGTCAACTTAATAGATTGGCATTCTGTATATTACTTGTCTCAAACATAATTTTGGTAGGAATTCTAGTAAATCGTGTAACCGTTATCCTTATATGGGCAAAAAAAAAAAATTTTCAATTTAAAAGTAAAATCAATCTATCCGGATCATATAAAAACTTAAGGAACTTTTAACATTTTATAATACGAGAAATGAAACAGACTCAACAACAAGCTAAAAAAATTGAATCTTCCGAGAAAGCCCCAATTGAGGAGAATCAGGTTTGAAATTATAAAGTATTATAACACGAAACTCAAATAGATGCGTTAGGCTCAACTTCTTTAATTTACCGATTAAGAATAATGAGAATGAGAATATTAGCGACGATAACGAAGATATTGTTGATAAGTTATTAGCTAAGATTGAAGCAAAACGCGTCGAGGAGGAAAAAATTGCTGCTTCAAAAGTTTCGGTGTCCTCAAATAAGGTCCCGAAAAGCAAAAAACCAAATCGACAAAAATTAAGAAAGGTATTTATGAATCTTAAATTAAATGTTTTATTCTTTTGATTGTAATTGAGAATTGTTAATTAAGGCACGTAAAGCAGCTGAGATGGCCGAATTACAACGCGAAGTTGAAAATGAAGCCAAAAATCAACCCAATATGAATGAAGTAGAACGCGAAAAAATCAAAGAAATCGTCACCACAATGGGATTATCTATTAAAGAGGTAACAATTTTTTTTTTCATAAATAATCTATTATTTTCTAACAAAAAGAGTCAATAACATAATACTTCAAATTTAATGACTGTTAGATCAAGCCTGATGGGCATTGGCAAGTTTTCTTGGCTTTTCAATATAAGATATAGTTAATAAAGTTTTTATTCCAATTTAAAAAATTTTTTTTTTTTCGTTTTTCTGAATTCAAATACAGCCTTTATAATGCTATATCAGACCAATTGCAAATTAAACATAATATTATGGTATGTAAAGAATTTTTTTTACTATGATTCGCTTATGTACGCACATATTTTGATTAACCTCTTTTTTTCCATTAAGGTAGACTGATTATAAAGAACTAAGGCGTAAAACCGCGGCATATATGCGTGAAAACCCTGACGATTTTATTCCGTTTTTACCTACCAAAGATGACGGAATATGTAGTCCGGGTCAGCAAACAAGTCACATTAAAGGGATTGTTTAATTTGCGTCTAATTAATTTTTCTTATTAAACCTAATTTCTTACCTTTTTATTAGAACAATTTAGTAAATATTGTGATGAATTGGAAAATACAGCCGTTTGGGGAGGACAATTAGAAGTATGTGGTTTGTGTTTTGTAAGCATAAACTTCTGATGATGCTTTACTTACTTTTTTAAAAAATAAATAGATTATTGCGATTTCGAAAACTTTTAAGTTACCAGTTCATTTAATTCAAATGAACTCACCATTGATGAAGATTTCTGATGATGAATTCCTAAACAAAGAACCTATTACAATATCGTATCCTTTGGTTTAATTAATATTCATTAATTTAATTGATTAGCCTCCTTGATGTCAATAATTTTTTTAGATTCCATCGACATATGTATGGATTAGGCGCTCATTACAATTCACTTCGAAAAATTTGATCAAGTTATATTTAGACACCGAGGAAGCAATATAAATGGACGAATAATTTAATACAGTAACATATCTATCTTTTCTAAGTTTGATTAATGGAAAATCAACTAGTATTTAATAAAAAAAAGATTTTCAGTTTATGATCTAATTGTATCAAATATACCAATTTTTTTTTACCAATCAATTAGCCACCTTGCATTTAAGTAAACATCAAAAACAAAGAAACCAAACAAGAACACGTGTGATGCGGAAAATGGTTTAACTACTGCAATGTAGGCGTTTGTCAATCGAATATTGGCACATAGATATTATATGCACAATCCAAACAATTATGCAAAGATAGGTGCCCCGAATATATAATGTGGCGCATATTTAAACCTTCACCTTTTGACATTCATGTACACAACCTTAAAGATATGTATTTGATGTACTATAGAACTTTAAATAGAATTTTTATTTTAATAAAATGTACTACTTAAGTTACAAAGGGTTTGTATATAGAAAAAAAAAACTTTTAACTTTTATTTATTTTTTTATGAATTAATATTTGCAAATAATCGTTAAATATGATAATTAGAACTATAGAAGATAATATCTTTTATATCCCAGCATTTTTAACTATTTGTATTTTAACTAGATGGGAACGTTGCCAGCAAATCAAGTTATGAAATATATGATCTGTAATGTGATTTTACTGGCATATTATAACATTATCCTATGACAATACTAAGTTGCAAAGATAGAGGATTTAATAACGTGAATATAAAAAAAAATCGCGTCAATTCATCACATGAATTTGTCAACAAAAAAAGTGAATAATAATTTTTTTTTTCTTTTATTAATTAAATTTTTTCTTTTCTTTGATCCAATTCTTTCATATTATTATTATTTAAATTAATATTCGTTTTTAAACCGATTCAGTTGATCGATTGACATTAACAGATGGCAATAATCATAAATTATACTTTGGGTCCGTAACACCATGAAATCCCAATCAAAAAATAATTTCAAAGATTGTAAGAGAAGATTATCAAGATAAATAAATATAAATACTTTATGTGATAAATAATAATAAATAAAATCAAGTTAATTGTCATCTACAACATCAGGTTTTAATTCAAACAAAATATCATAACATTCATTTAATAAGGCCATAACGATACCCTGACCTTCAGGTATTGATCCATCTTCATCCAAAAATTTGCCATCTACACGCATATTATCAATAGATGCGAGTTTCATTTGATATGGATATAATTCCCTTGCTAGTAAAGTATAAAAATGAAACAAATTGAAATTTATTAAAATTTGCAATTTTAACGATGTATGACTCTATCCCAAGATAGAATATAAAGTTATTTACCTGTAAAAGGACCGCCAAATTTTTTAACTTCAATTAAAAATCTTCGCACGGTAAGAAGTTGGTTGTGAATAGGCATTAACGGTTCAGCAATAGGTTCACTAGAACTTAAAATCTTATACAATAATCGATAACACTTGCGTAACAAATGAAGGAGGACCTAAATAATTTGGTTGGATATTAATAAAGTGCACGCGTAATAAATTAGAGAATTTTCACATGAAAACTGCACCGTTTGTCCTTCGGGAACATTTCCTTCATTATCATAAAATTTTCCATTTTTCCTCATATGATCAATTTCATTTAATTGAAGTTGAAAGGCCCACATATCAGTTTCACGCGAAGTCCACCGATGTGTTAATGTCAATTGTTCAAGTAATGATTTTAATTCAATCAATCTATGATAAATAGGTTTTAAAGTTCCTGCAACATCATCCTGACTGGCAATTAGATCATGAGCACATTCATAACATTCCTCTAACAACCCAATAACTTGAGCTTGACCTGATGGTATAGAACCATCTGGTGCCAAAAAACTCCCACCAACTCGTTTACTATCAATGCTTCTTAATTCATCTTGATAAGGTCGAACTTCTGATATTTGAAATGATGGTGTGTTATCAAGATTATTACGTGAACCTATTGCACCTAATTCTCTTTTTATTTCTACTAAACGATGATGTATTGGTGTTAATTCATCACTTAGATTTGAGCCGGATTCCAATAGTAAACTCAGCACGGTCTCTAAATTAAAAGTTAGAAAGATAATGAATATGAAAGTAAGGAAACATTGTTAAGTAAAATTTATAAATACCACAGGATTTTAACTTCTTTTTCAGTAATTTCAAATGTGGCTCAGCTATTGCATTATTTTCCTCATCATTCTTTATAATCTTACTCATTTCTATCAATCGATTCTGATATGGGGTCAGATCATCTAAAATTTTGACATTAATCAGTAAAAAGGTAATATGATAAAAAGAAATTAATAAGCCACGCGTGACTTCTCACCTAATGTGTAAACACCAGACTCGTTTAAGTGATCCAAACATTGCTATGAAATAATAGTACCTTTAATAATGTTTCTCACTTATGAACCCATTTAAAAGCTCAATAAGATAAATAAATTACCTTAATAGTGGCAAGTTGTGCATAGGTAGCAGGACTTTCATTATTTTTACCTATCGCCATAAAGAATAACGAAAGTAACTGAAAAACATCGTCAAGAACAACATTAACGCGGTTATCTGAAGTTGGACTTTCTGTGGCCTGTTCGCGAATTTCATTCAACTTTTTCACGTGTTCCGTAACCTATGGTTATAAAAAGATAATTAATTCGTGTGTTAATGCTGCCCTACTTTCGACTTAACATATGCTGATATTAGTTTTTTTTTTTATAATATACTGTAAATACACCTTTTAGATTTATAAATACCTCGTCATAGATCTCAGTAACTGTCGAAGACTTGATATAAGTTTGACGATCTTTTTTTAATGCGTGAAGGCGATTCCTTATGCCGATAATAGCTTCAAGTATCGAAAGTTCTTCTTCGGGAACTCGGTTCGTCATTGCCTTGAATTTGTCAAAATTTAAAAAAGTTTATAATGTGGCTGAAAAAATCCTTGATATAACAAATTATGATTTACATCAAGTCATTAAACCGAATATACCTATTTTATCATTTTCTGCTTGGTGATCGATCCCCTTAGTTTGAAAGAAGCATATTTTCATAATTAACAATTTCATTAAATTTTCAGTCAGGTAAGATTTGATCATATCTTATTTCCTCCAATTGTGTTTCAATCTCACGGTTTAATCTCGTTTAGCAGTTCACGTGACAATAAGTGACTAATTTGAATTTTTTCTCTCGAAACGAATTAAAATGTCTAATAAATTGCCCTATTAAAGTTCAGGATAGGGTTCTGATCTGACATGCATCCGATCCGCCTTAGAATCCGTTGATAAGAAAATATATTATTGCTTTATAATTACACTCTATCGAAAATATTTAACAAACGAAACCAAAGGCAAAATGACCTCAATTTGCCATTTCATTTTGCTCGATCACTACCAAAAGAAAAAGAACTACTTTTTATTCTATACTTTAGTGTTATTATGAAAGGACAGGATCCTTATCAAAATAATCACCAAAGCTCATTTTGTGATGAGTGGCTCCCGGAAGATCTTGTTCTGATTAAACTCGAAATAAGATGCTGAAGCAACAAATGGAATTTTGTCCAATTAGAAAAGCACGTGAAGTAATCCGCGCAAAATATGAAATTCTTGAATTTAACCAAGTCGTTCTAAAAGTCTTCACTCAGATAACGTTTCATAAAAGAAATCATACGGCAATTCGTAATATCTTAATTAATAAGAAAAAGTATATCATTCAGTTCATTGACCATTAAAGAATGAGGTATTGGGCTTTTTTTCTCCACAAAGCAAAAAGAAAATGAAATGATTTATCGCATTTAATTCTTTCCAATATCATGTGACTTATATCATTGTGACGCTAGTTTTAACTTTACTTTTGAAAGATGCTTGAGTTAAAAGTTTAAAATGATGTATTTAACTTTTTTTTTTTATCATCTGGATGAGCTAATCAAGTTTTTTAAAATAAACTTTTTTTTGAGATGATGATATAAGTATGTTATATCAATAAGATAATAGACATATAAACCTAAAGCTTACTCAAAAAAAGAAAAATAATAATAATGGTTCGCTTATTATTCAACATTTTGTTAATTTTTGTTTTAATTACCTTTTCGCCACTTATCATTTTTACAATTCCTATTATATTTCCGTGTTGGATAATTAAAAGATTTTTCTTATGGTCAACCTCCAAGTAAATTTTTTATTTTTACGTCGTTATTTGCTGCAAAAATTGATTTTTTAATAGAAAAAATTCTTTACCATAGCTCAAAGATGATTATGACTTCACCTCTCTTTAACGATTTAAGCACAAGAAATAAACAAAATATCCTTCACTGGCTTAACGAAATTAAACCCGAATATGAAAATGAAATGGTTTTTCATGTAGACTCATTATTGGTTTTTGAATGGAAGGAAGCTGCGCTCCTTCAAAGAGGAATATTAAAGGCGAACGTAATTGAATGTATGTTCACAAATGATTAATTATAGTTATACTTACTCTGTTCTCATAATTCATTTTTTTTTATTGGACAGTGATTACTAGCACACACCAGAACGTTAGATATTACGTTGATAATGATGTACACAATACACCTAATGTTTTATCGGATTCATTCTTTAGCGTAGTTGGTCCTCGTGCGAGCCAAATAATCGTACACATCGTTAGGAGACTACAAACTAATTATCATCAAGCAAATGTCCCATCATTAGGTCGGGTATTTTGCGTAAGGGCAACTAAAGCTAACGTTATAAAAGTCGATGAACTTTACCCTTTTAATATTTGATTTTTTTTTAAAATTTACAAATTTACAAGTATTAGATAATTATAAAGAATCGGGGAATATCTTTATGCGTTTTCTAGTATATATTTTAAAAAATTGTATTTACGTGTTCTACTTCTTATGTGTAACTTTTACGGGTTTGCTGAATCCCATTATTTTATTTCTTTGGTTAATTTTCAAGGGTTCATTCACATAAATTTAGATTTCATTAAGATATCTTTTGATTTTTTTGATTTTCACAAAATAATTCAATAAACTTTTTTATATTATATTTTTTTATTAGGGGACATTTCGCAAAACCATTTTAGCAAAATTCTTGTGATGGTCTGTGATATGTCAAATTTTGAACGGAATAAAAATTCTTTTTTTATTTTATTATTTTATACATAAATTATGTGTGATTTTATTTATTGTTATCAATTCTTAAAAATGATAATGACTTCATTATCCCTCTTTAACGATTTAACCTTCATTGGCTTAACAACATTGTACCCGAATATGTAATTGAAGTGATTTATCATGTAGACCTATTATTATTGGTTTTCGAATGTAACGAAATCTTACTCTGTTTCATAATTTAATATTTTTTCGGACAATGATTACTAGACTAGCACACATCCGAACCGTTCAACAGTTCTAACGTTATAGATGTAATCGAATTTGAGTTTTTTTTAAATTTACAAATTTACTAATAAGAATTAGATAATTTTGTAGAAGAATATCCTAATGCGTTTCTAGTATATTTTTACTAAAATGTCTTTTGATTCATTAAAAGTAATTGAAGTAACCACCCATTTTTTGACAATGTATTACAAAATAAAAATGTAAAACTTTTTGATTAATATTTACCGAGAATGTACTTCTTATGTGTAAACTTTACGATATTTTCAAAAAGAAAAATATATATATATATATCTTAAGGTACCGGCAAGGCATTAATGATTTTTATTGGAATTGAAAGTATTATTGAAATTGAAAGTCCAAAAGTATTTCCAATTTTCACTTGATATAAATTTATCCAATAAACTTTTTATTGGAATTGGAAGTATTATTGGAATTGGAAGTATTATGGAATTGGAAGTATTATTGGAATTGGAAGTATTATTGGAATTGGAAGAATTGGAAGTCCAAAAGTGCTTCCAATTTCCAATGCCCATCACTGCCGGCAGGTTTTCAAAGTCTAACCCTTTTATTATTTAAATCGGTTACATTTATCAAAAGATCATTCATTGATATTTAATAAAAAATGAAAGTATATATATTCCTTTTAACATAATGCAAGTTTTTTATTTTTATTTTTATTTAAAATTTGTGATTTATATATATTTATTAGTATCATTACAAAAGTTAAAAATAAATATTATTAACGCTATAATATTAAAAGAAAAAAATATTTACTATGATCGTAACTCATATGTAAGCCACAATCACGTGACGTAATCACCAAATGTGGTTACTACTATTAATTATCGTTATTTTTAAATACACAATTTTTTAAAATATTAAAACTTAAATAACCTTGTGATGTCAATGTGCAGTACTTAATCATAAGTCACTAATTAATGCACGTGACAACGATACAATAAAAAAACTGTTGAAATTTTTTTTTTATATTGTCGGTTTAGAATAACAATAACAAGAGTAACACATCTACAATACTTTGTTATTATGACTATAATGAACTATGACGAATTAAAAAAAAATCACTTAAAACTTGCTAGTCTCATGGAGAAAATTCTGGACTTGACCTTATAACACAGATTTCATGTCTTCAATTGAGACTAACATTACTAAAGTCCCGCCACAAAAGCCTTTTCGACGGAGGCTATCTTTTAAAACAAAGTCTCTATCTTCTCCTGAATCTGATTCTGCAGGCTCGACTACTTTGGGAAGTGGCTTTAACACTGTCCGAGGAAGCATCCGCCGCTTTAGGCGTGTTTCCAATACTTTAAATGGCACTTCAAGTACTCCAACCTTGAATCATATTGATAATAATGATACCAATTCGACACAAGAACAAGCAAAAACCTCCTCTTCCACAAATTTGCAGTCCCCAACATTCCCAAGTTTCCAACGCCTCCAAACACTTGCCTCCATGGCCCGTGAACAAACTTCACGATTCAAAGATATAGACTTGACTGCTGCAGTTCAAGAAATGAGTAGCGAAATAGGGAAAAAAGGTGTAGAATTAGGAAGTTTAGCAAAGGAAGTTGTTGTTGAACGTTGGAAAAAAAGGAAAGAAGGTTGGTTTAAAATGCTAAAAAAAAAAAAAAAAAAAAAAAAAAAATTTGGATTCTTATTCTTACATTCTTTTTATGCGAACTTCATTAAATTTTATGCTTTATTTTTTATTTTATTTTTTTTATTTAGAACTTCCAAATGAATTCACGTCTCCCGGTAATTCGAAATCAGACAATGTTACATGCATGAACATTTTTGGGGAATCGCTTGCCACAGCTGTCAAATTAACGCGCATAGAAAAAGACATCAGTCAAATCAAGAATGATCCATCTAGGTACTGGTTACCAGCAATCATGGTGAGATGTATTGAATTCTTGGACAAGTATGGTAAGCAAATGTGATTACTAATTTGGATATATGTTCGTTATGATCACTAATATAATAATATGCATAATTTGATTAATTATTTAGGTTTAGAGGAAGTTGGCTTATATCGGTATTTGATTTAAAAAAAATTATGAACTTCATTTTGTATATGATGGATATTACTTAATATTGTATTGATATATTAATAGAATACCAGGAAGTACGTTAACTGTTACACGAATGAGAAATATTTTTAACTCCGGTATGTATTTGAAACTTATCTAACTTATCCTGTTTTATGATTTCTCAAATAATTTATCTTATTTGTTTTGATATTATAGGTGCCGATTTGAATTTCTCACAAAACGAAGATCCTCATGCAGTTGCAGCACTCTTGAAGATGTATTTGCGAGAAAGTATGTACCTCAAAAGAAATATATATAATATTTTTTTTTTTATTTTAGTTCATCAATTCTTTAATCTAATCTATTAAAATTAATATTTATCCTTTAATATTTTAGTACCCGATCCTATATTAACGGAAGCTTTATTACCAGAGTTTAACGCGTGTGTAGCAAATCACATGAATTCCGCACCTTCGGGATCTCCCCCGATTCATAATACACCATATTTCACAGCCACAACGATTCCAGAAGAATTTCCAAAAGCTCTTTCTAACATCGTTTCTTGTTTACCGCCTCAACATTTCTATCTTTTATGGGCCCTTTTTTCACACCTTTCTCGTGTAGATAAAAAATGCGGAATAAATAAAATGAATACTAGTAATCTTGGATTAATTTTTCGTCCTAATTTAGGAATAGGTTCATTGCTATTTAAAGTGTTTACGGAACATGTTGATGTAGTATTTGGGGTTGGATGTAAAACAGAAAATGAAGCACTTGAGGAAGAGAAAAAAGCCAAAGAAGGACAAGCACCTGAAGTATACCACAAGACAAATATATCAGGAGATTTTTCGAAAAGTTTTGAAGATTTATTAAATCTTGACACAGAACATGTTAATGGTCATTCATCAAATCACTCGTATTCATCATCTTCATCATCATCCATTATTGGTTTATATGTAAATAGGGAATCGGTTGGCCCTTCAGATGAAAATAAAAATGATTCTGTAAAAGATAACTTAATAAATAATAATACGACCACGACGATTTCTACGATTAAAGTTGGTTCCCCTACTCTTTCATCATCGTCATCTATAACATCTCCTCCAACACCACCACTAGTTACAACAATGGAGGATCAACAAATTAATGATAATAGTAAAAATACGGATAATTCTTTTAGTGAGGACGATTGTTTACTAAATAATAATAATAAACTTCAACGTTCAGTAAATATCATTGACGCAAAAAATACTACTACTTTATCATCTTCAACAAATTCTTCTTTTCGCATGCGTTCTAGGTCCACGGGTTTAAGGAATATACCTTTAATAGCTTTAGATTATTCGACTGATTCATCAGAAGGTGAGAAGAAGAAAAAGGAGATGGAAAAGGAAAAGGAGGAGGAAGAAGTTCATTCACCAACTCTCTTGACATTTGATTATATTGATAAATTTGGTACTAAAAACCTAGGGATATTGAATGTATCCGCAAGATCATCGAACTGGGTATTACATCATAATGGAATGGGAGGTGATAAGAGTAACGCAACAACCGCATGGGTAAGGAGGAGTGGAAGACGACCAAGTTTAGGTTTAGGAGAAGCGGAGAAATGGAAAAAAACTTTATTAGCAAATATGGATACAACCGATCCGCCAAATATTATTAATGATGATGATGATGATAAAGTTATCCATGAAGAAGCTGAAATGAAAAGTTTAGTAAATGAAAGGTCAAAAGTTGGCAAGAGTAAAGTCCGGGATCAAATTTTAAAGTTTAATGGAGCAAGTTGATTCCTTACCTTTTAAAGTTTTTTTATTATTTGTTTGTATATACTTTTTTTATTATTATTATCATTATTATTTGTTATTGTAATAGGTTTTTTTTGGAATGAATGACCAATTGTAAAGATTAAAAAGAAAATTATTATTCTTATTATTATCATAATTTGGTTTTTTCAATTATTTTTTTTTTTTTTTTTAAAAAAAAAATAATTATACCGCAGATTATAACAATCATCATCAATAGTGAAATTTGGAACTCTATCAAAAACATATTTGTACTCTTTCATATCTTTCAACAAATCCCATTTCTTTGTAAACAATTTTTTTTCTCTTTTTTTTTTTATGTATTTCTTTTCCGTTTTTGTATTTCCTCATCCAAACATTTTTGTATGTATTAAAACAAACAAAAAAATTAGCTGGTCTACTTTATATTAACAGTCTTACATCATATATATAAATAGTTCATATTATTACCATTATTTTACCATTTTGGTATCTGATTTGGTTAGGTGCTCTGATGAAATCACCTTACATAAATGACCGCACCTGCCTCTCTATGAAGAAGTATAATAGCAAAAGAAGTTAACATTGAGCTTGAGCTTATTTATAATCATGATGTCATTCGCGTAATTCATCCACTAACGGTTTTAGTTACACAAAAACTGTTAGTGGTTTTTTCACCTAATTGTTTTGCGATCCTAATCGAAAGGTGCGTTAATCGACGATCTAAAATACCGTGCCATTAAAATAATTTCCTTATTCATTAGTAAGAAAAAAAAATAATTTATATGAAAGGATATTAATTTTTTACCCTTTCCTTACGTCCATTCTCGATTCCTGTATAATGAAAACATTCAGTAATGTATTCATTCATTGGTTTAATTCGTAATGCTCAAAATATAAAGTTTTATTAATTTATTTGTACTATATTAATGCTAATATAATTTTTTTTGTTTTTTAAATTAAAAAGTGTAGAATATTACAACATGGTGAAGTAAATAATAATAATAATAATAAAAAAGAATCGACCATCTCAATCCACCATTTAATTACCAACTCTATATGACTCGTAATAATTTCCAAATAGAAGAAAAAAAAAAAAAAGACGTGTTATTAACTTCTAAACATTATTAATCGAACCTTTATCATTATCATCAACTCTTTCGAATTTATATTTTTCATATTGAGGCAAAAATTTAAACATTAATAATTCAACAAGGAAAGCTGCAAATTTCTGTTTTTGTCAATCATTCAACAAGAGAATTAATTAATTCATTAAATCGATCAAATTAATACGCGAAAAGAAAAAGATGAATAAAGAACTTACGAATAAAGCAAGAGCTGCTACTATATTCGTCAACAAAGTAATAAAATCAAATTCACCAATTTGTCCATATTGTTGAAATACCAATCGGATTCTATCAAATGATAATAAAATAAATGAAAATGTCACAATATAAGTTTCAAAAAAATAAAAGGATGATACATACCCATGACGATCTTTAATTGTATAAGAATTATCATCATTAAAAATGGTTTCGGTCACTTTATATTCAGCTCCATCAATAACTTGTGGTAAATATTTATATTTAATCACATTATCCTATAATGGGTTTTATTTATTTATTTATTTAATTTTTTTGATAAGTAAAACAAAAATAATAAATAAAGATAAATGTATCTATGGTTAATAAATTATACCTTGAATGGAACATTTTCATAATCTATCACGATTACAATGACGACACCGGATGATCTATTTAGTTCCCCTTCAACAGCAGCAGGAGCAAACGAAGGAGCTTTTTTTTTTTAAAAGCAATTTATTTTTAACACAACTTACAACCTCAATAATCAAGCTAGGTGAATTTAAATTATTGCGATGTTATTACCTTCTAAATCAACGTCTATAATAAAAGCAACGCAAATAAATAAATGTAATGTAATAAGATCAAAACATATATAATTTACCTGCGGCTTCAAGAATTTGCTTCACTGAAAAAATATCACCATTGGCTCTTGGATCTTCTTCAATCTACGTTTTGATTACAAACAAAATAAAATAAATGTGCTAAAATACAATTCAAAAGATAAATTCTTACTCTTGTTGCGTTAGTCCATGATTTAATCGTTTTACCATCAATAGCAGAAATTAATTCACCATCCATAAGCCCATTACGAAGTGAAATAGAAGTAGTTTTTCCTCTAATAGAATGTTCAATCATAACCTGTTTATGGTTTTTTTTAAAAAAAAAAAAATTATAAATAAAAAATTTCATAATAAAGTTACTCAAATATACATATACACTTACAGTATAATTTTCAATATCTGCAATGTAGGATTTATTCGTTATAATTTGACCAGTACTGGTCTTAGCATTAAAAATACAAGGATCTTCAGGTGATGATGGCAAAAGGAAATTACAATTTTCAGGTGCTGTATATCTTGTTACGGTTGCCCTTGTGGTTAAAAATGCTACACCTGCTGCGTCGTTTGGAAAATGTATTTCATCTGCTCCCCAGTAAACGCAAGGCAATTCCCCTCCTATACAATATGGTGGATTGGTAAATGTTGGAGGTGCTTGCAACGTTATTCTAACTGCGCCAGGTACCGGGGGTTCCTATAATGAATCACGTGAGTTACGTTCTACGACTATTTTTTTTTTTAATACTACTTTTCAAAATTGTTCACCTTTTTTAGATATAATTGAGAATTTAAAATACTAAATAGAATATAAATAAGGATGGCAAATTGGAATAATCGATGAAGTATACCCAATCTTCGACTATAATAAAAAAGTAAAAAATCAATTCAATAAGAACACAAGGAATATATCTTTCTTTATATATGTTCACGAAATGAATTCATGTTTACATACTCTCTGACCTGCACAATCTTGTAAGTTTCGTATCTTTTAAAAAAAAATATATGTATATGTTTTTTTTTTATTTGTAAATGGTCGTAAATTCATATTAAAATAGTGATTATTGACGAATCGATTTACCCAAGAAATTCATCCAAATCGAATTTTTTCGCCATTGTAAAGATCAACTGAAAAATGTTTGTTAAAAGATAAAAAAAAAAAAAAATAGACGAAAATTTTTTAGGAATAAACGACAAAAACGGCAAATTCACACATATATATATATATTACTATCTTTATCAATTATGTCAAACAATTCAATATAAAATAAATAGGGATCAAAATTCATTGTGCACAGCAAATCTGTTGATTTGTGTTTCATTAAAACAAAACACTATCAGATTTAGTATTTTTGAATAAATCATGTGAGCAAAGAAATCCGAAGAATGTTTCAAGTTAATGTTTCACATCATTGATTTGTTCTTGTTTTCTCAAAATATTAACGGTTATGCTATTGTGCAACTAAAATGATTTTATTGATTTTTTATTGTGACGTGACACCAAACCACAAAAAGGAATTCGAAAGTAAAAAATATAGTTTTAGAGATTGATATTTGGCATTTCACTCTTTATCTCGTACAAAATTTACCTTATAGCGTCACATGTTTCTCAAGGTAGTGGTAAATTGATATTCTTAAAACCTAGATAGTAACCAATGCACTTTAAAGATACTTATGTAATGGAATTTCGTTAAAACTGTTGGACATTCGGAAACTTGTATTTCGGGATTCGGGATAATGTGATATTAGTTTTCGGCATTTAGGCATCGGGATTATGTATGTACTTTCAAGATTTCGAGCTTCGGGATTTTGAATGGCACTAATATAATAATTATTACATTTAACATACTCTCGTACTGTATTTTTTTTTTTTTTTATAAACAACCAAAAATAATCGTGGCCAATGGCCAAACGGTCAAATGTCACATGATTTTCCACGGACGTTTAATTTATTGCAAAAATATTGACGCCCTAACTTCGGGACGTTCAATTAATTGCAAAAATACGTTAATTTTTGCAAATCGCAATAGATTGAACTTTCCGAAGTAGGGGCCGTCAATTTTTTTGCGTTTTTGCAAAAATTGCCGCCTACGACTTTGCATATTTTCGTCACTTTCAAATTTTATGTTAAATTTTCACAAATTATAAGTTTAATAAATTTTAAAAGTTCTTAATATGCCACATAATTATAATAATTACATTGAAGTTTTATCTGAAAAAGCAGATACATGGTGATATTATTGTATTTGTGTTGCATGCAGATATATTGAAAGTCGTCAAATTGCTTTACTTAGAAAATGCCAAATAAAAGTTATCATATTCAAAATCATTTAAAGAAATGCAATAATTTTAAAAATAAATATTCTTAACAGTATGCTGAATATTTTGAATCAGAGTTAGAAGAAGAAAATGATGAATTTGAAGAGAATTAGGGGATTTCAATTTCAATAAAAAGATTATATAGAGAATCTAATAGTTCAACATATAGTTCTTTATTAAAAATAAATCAATTGGTTTATTTGTTTCTTATATTTCTAAATTACTTATATCTCAACCATTTCAAAGAATAATCAATGTATTTTTGAAAAGTTGATAATTTGAATTACAGTATCTGCAAGGTTATCTTTACAATAGATTGAAAATAAAAAATTTTCAAAAACTTTTTATTTTTTTAAATCCTGCTTTAAAAATTCCATTACATAAAGTTTTAAAAAGATGAATTTTAAATGAAAAATCAAAATTACTTTAAAATAGAATAAAACAAAAGTTAAAAGCTGATACTGTTAAAATTCTTTGATATTTGATAGTTAGACAAATGTTTAAATCAAAATATTTTTGATTAGTTTTTATTATATCAGAAGGTAAAGATTTAATTTAGAAAGCAATAGATATTAGTAGAGAATCAAAAAAATAAAAGAAGTTTTTGAAAAAACAGAAATAATATTTAAAGAAATTAATGATATACAAGTAAATCTTATTACACTTGTATTAGATAATACTATACTTTGACATAAATTAATGAATTACTAACTAAATTGTATTTTATGAATTATATTTTGACAAATATAATTATTTATTAATAATTTAT